TTTCATTCAGCATTTTGGGAGAAATTCTCCTTTCTCCTCTTTTTTATCTTTAAGTTTTCCTGGCTACAGTTGCCTTCCCCTTGACCTGGAAACTAGTTAAGATTTTTCCTATTTTAAATGTATATTTCCCTTAGTGTCGCTTTTCTCTCAAATGAGAATTCCATCTTTTTCCTTATTTTTACTTCCAGAGGTCTCAAAAGATTGTTTATACTTTCTGCCTTCATTTTCTCATCCTCAATGTAGTTTTTATTCTTTTGAAATATAATGTCCACCTTTAACACTCTGCTATCTTATTGAAAATCATCAGTGCTCCACAAAACACAGTAACACTTTCTTATATTTTATCCTCTCAAACATTTTGGCAGCATTTTATGTTTTTGATAACTCTCTGTGTTTTTGTTTCTTCTCCCTTTTGTGTGTGTATGTGTGTGTGTGTGTATGTGTGGCCTTCTCTTGGCTTACAGGGAACTATACTGTGTCAGTTGTTCTCTGTCTCTGCTACTTTTTCTTTGACAATTCCTTCATTAACTGTCATAAGGATATGCTTCAGAATATTCTTTTTTATTTATATACACTCCATTGGCAATGTCATCTACCCCATGGAAAGGGAGATCCTATTGGTCAGAACAGGCCAGGGACAGTGCTAAAGAGGTAGAAGAATACATGATAAATAAACAAGAAGTCATGGTCTCCTAAGATCCCATACTATATAGTGTATTTTTTTCTTTCTCTCCTCAGTCAATTTTCCATACACCTAAACTATTATCAGTGATAGATAAACAATTCTTTCTTTTTTTTTTCTTTTTTATTTGTGATTTGGGTGAAAGTTTACAGAGCAAATTCATGTTCCATACAATAGTTCATACACATTTTGTTTCAAGACATTGATGGCAATCCCCATAATGTAACAACTCTCTTCCCATTTCCTCCCTGTGGTTACCTTTTCCTGTGTCCTTCTTTCCTGTGCATTCATTCCAGCCCTCTGAGCTATCTCCCTGTGCAAGTACTGCCCTTCTGATTTCCTATGGTTAACTGTTCTAAGGAGAGGGCCTACTTGGTGTAATTGTTCAAGTCATAGGCCTGTCTGTTGTTTAGCTGGAAGTTAAGTCACGGGAATGAGTTCAGTTCCAGGCCTGAAGGGTAACTAGAGGTCATAGTCTTGGGAGTTTTTCACCTGTTTCTATCTGACCTTTAAGCCTGTTTTTTTTTTTTTT